CGTCTCTTTGGTCAAGCTGACAGAATGATGAGGACAAGGTGTGAGGAGGGCTTTCCTTTATCTGCAGCTTAAGCATGCACGCACTTAAGGCTGTCTCATGTTATATAAGTGAAAACGCTGGTTAATATTAGTACCAACACAGTGATTAATACGGCTCCAAGCAGCTCTGTTTATTTTTACAAAGAAGGGTGAAAAGGTGTGGATGAAACCAAAACGTGAGCTGGTTTAAGGGAAATGATGGGAGATGCTGCAATAACCACAAAGAAGCTTGTAAAAAAAAATATTTGAGTGTTTTTTGTTCAAAAACAAGGCAAAATATAATTTAAAGTTAAAGATCCTATTCCCACAGTTGCTGTTTTCTTGTCACATCAGGGTCAGGGTGGGAAAGTTGTCGTTTATTGCTTCAATGTTCAAGGTCATAAGCCACTGACACTTTGCAGGAACACAAACAGGCGCAGCAAAGACTCAGCACATGAGACATTATTCATCTTTTGCTGTAGGGATGTGTACATTTTCTTTTTAATTTACCATTTAAATGTAACATTTGCATTACTTTAAATCAGAAATGTAAAGCACATGGTGCAGCGTTACATATAGGTTTGCACGTATTCTGATTTGCAGAGTGGCAGCTGGAAAGAAAACAAACCACATGCAGAATCACATGCTTTTTCCTGAATTTACTTAAGTTAGGATTGATTTGCACTATTCAGACATCTGGGAATGCACAGCACATGATATTGCTCCCTGAATAAATGAACACATAGACTTTTAAAACACATGCTTTTACAGGTGAATACTTTTCTCAGTTGTGCTATTTAGAGTTACATTTGCACTTTTTGAAGCCCTGGGAATGCAATACAGAAGATGCAGGTCACTGTTTAAGTGTGTACCAAGTCCTTTTTCAGAGTGACACCAAAAAGAAAAAGAAAAAAAACACTTAAAACACAAAATATTTAAAATACTTAAAATATTTGAAAATTATTTAATACAGTTTGACATTGATTATATTACGCCTTAATCTGCTCATGATTTCCACTGGATTTTACATTTTAAACATTTCAATGTTTTTTTTTTTTCAGTTTTTTATTGAATTAAAAGTACTATCTCTAAAAACTTTATTAAATTATTTTGTGCTTGTAAGTCCCGAACAAAACAAAACAACAACAACAACAAAAAAAAAACAAATAGACTACAAAATTCAAGTTGTTTTGAAAAACAGTATGGGTATAGTATAAAAACGTGTGCTATATAAAGGCTAAATTTTAAAAAATATATACATACAATATTTTGGACAAATAACAGAGGAATTAAAGGTGCTGCCTTGTCCTTAGAACGTTCTAAAAGCAACACAAACACAAAGTTTCTGATAGGAGCTTTTATCTTGTGTGAAGCACTTTGGATTTCCTGTTCCCGAAACAGCTAAACTGGTGTTGCTTGGATTTCAGTTTTCGTGAATTGAATCTGTATTAAAATAAGACAGCTGTTTGTATTTGTATTCAGCATGTTTGTTGTTTTTGTCCGTCTGTTCGGCTCTTGATGCATTAAAATAGTTGCATTAGACTGAGTTTGACAAGAACAGTTTTCGAACAAAAATACGTTTTTATTCATGAAGCTGTCGAGGCCACATTTTCCTTTTAATGAGATTCATATTTGCTCATTGTTTGTCGTCTTGAATTGATTTTTCTCATTTTAGAAATTTGACAACAATTCAGACGGATATTTTTTCCCTCTTTTTTCGAGGAAGTTTCATTTCTAAAGCGGAATTGTTTTCATACAATATTTGCTGACATAAAAAATATGTTTAAAAATGAAGGAAAAGGTAATTTTTTTCTGTGAAGCTTTCAGACACAATGATCCAGCTGTGGAGGAGCTACTTAAAGTAGATTACTTTTTGCGTTATTGTTTTTAAGGCCTGATGCTTCTTTGTTATTAAAGAGATGATTTAGATGAGTTAAGAGTTCAGGAGCTGACCAAACTGACGGAAAGGGAGGTAGGTTTTCATTTGCATGCTGTGGTTTCACCAGCTGAAAAAAAGACACATCCAAACATAGAGTGTGTGCTGGTGCATATGTAAATGTCATCAACCATGCTGAGGTGGGAGGGGAGCCCTAGTCTGGGGGAGGTGAGGTGGACTAACACAGGATCACCTCATGCAGGGTGGTGGATTTTGTGAGCTGTGCATCTTCAAACCTTTCATGAAAAGCAGCTCTGATGGAGACAGTGTGGTTAGAGTTGTGCTGTTTGGCCTGTCGGTGTAAACTCCACCTTCGCCCTGAGGCCTGTCAGCCCTGCCTGTTTCCTCACATCCACGTTTAGGGTTTTTGTGTACGTGTGTGTGCATGTGTGTGTTTTAGGGGAGGATATTCAGGAGTCAAATGCAAATATCACAGGAAGCTTTTTTTTCCCTCTTTGCAGAGTGGACACCTGTGTAAACTGCCATGTCACTCTGTGTGTGTCTGTGCGTGCAGACAGCCGCCCGTCAGCTGATGTTGACTGTGTGATAACTTCAAGCTTCTTGTACACACTCTGTCTTTGAGGCACCTCTTGGTGATGTAAGCGGCGCTGAGGTGTTCAGCTCCATCGGGGCCTTGAGCATCCGGCCATTAATGTCTCTGAACTCATAGACTCTGAAGGATGATGATAAACTTTTCATGATGCAATAACAATTTCTCTCCACTGAAGCTGAGATGATGTTTTTCTTTGCTTTAAATAATTTAAAGACGAGCTTCGAAAACCACAAATCAATGTTACTGAGATGGTGTGTCAAACACAGGAACGCAGTTTTCTCACCACAGAAAAATAAATCAGCTGGTCTGAATCGACTAATGCTCTGTTTCATTTAATCATAGATGTTTATTTATATTATATTAGGGATAAACTGAGTCTATAGCAATTGAAACCATCGCCCATATCTGTGTCTTTTCAGTGATTCCTGAAAAATCCATTTTAATCATGTTACTGGCTCAGACAATCATGTATATTAGATTATACTCTGTAATTTGTAATAAATGTGAATGTGAGTGTTTTTTTTTTATTTTACCCGGATATTTACCAAATTTATTTTCTTCTCTGAACAACCTTAGATCACTAGACAAAAATTTAAAAGTCCCTTAAGGAAAAATTTAACTGAGTCTGATGTTATTCCATCATTGTCTGTTTTTGATTAAATTTTAACTGCAGTTCAGCCATTTTGTTTTTAATTTCTAATTGTAGTTTGTCAAATGCACAGAATTGAATTTCCATTTGGGGAATCACTAAGGTTCTTCTTAACACATCTTAAACCCTCAAAACAAACCAACAAGCAAACAAACATGTTTATTTATATCTTTAGCGAGACCGTTGGCTACCACGCTAAGTTGAACTTGCTGCGTAGAATAGGCCCCTGAGGCCTATTTTATAAGCGGTGTCGTTAAACGGTCTTACGACGGTCTTACAACGGTCTTACAACGCTGGTTATCAACCTCATAAGTGGATCCAGCTTTGCTATGAGCGCATGCACGCATGTAAGGCGGAGCCCGGCGCATCTGACTAATCACGAACATGGACCAGTCTGGGGCGTCAGAGCAGGCCGGAGAGCAAAGGACCGCAGACTTTACAAACGAGGAGCAGGAGACGATCATGAGAAAGTGTGAAGAATTCAAATCTATCATAAACCTCAAAAGCAACACCGTCGCCGCTGCAAAAGCACAGAAGGAATCCTGGCAGAAAATTGCCGACAGTCTCAATGCGGAAGTATAGTGCGCAAAAAATCTTTGATGCCATTATCACCCTGAAAAAGCACTGTTCAACATGTGCTTTTAACATGCAGCAGACATGTCTAATTCATTTCCAAGATGAATTCATTCATTTGTTTATTCCTATCGTGTTTACATTTTTTGTGTGATATGTAGGTCATATGAGCCTTTCATAAAGGTGGTCATCCAGAAAAGTAAGTGGGTCCGTGCGGTCCCGGAAAACTCTTGCGCACCGGAGTGCTCCTCGAACAATGTGAGCACTGAGGTCTACAGGATCCTCCAAGAATGGACAAGCCATTTTTCAAGAGAGCTCACTGGTCATTGAGCGGGGTTTTTATACTCGGTGAGTTCAATCTGGAACCTAACCTGCCCTGGAGCGAGGTTAGCCGTTCAGCGTACGTTGCTATGGAGACTCCGCTCGGTAAGAAGTGAACCCGCGTCGTAGAACAGGAAACCCCGAACTTACCTTGAAGTTACCTCACTAAGCAGTAATCCTGCTTCGTAGAATAGGCCCCAGGTTTGTTCAGAAACAGAATTTAGTTTTAAGACCAGAACTGTCATTCTATCAGGTTTTAAAGATTTTACTTTGAAAATGAACATTTTATCATAGTTGTTAATGGGAACTCCTGGGCTTTTGTAGCCAGCCTCAAGTGGACAGTTGAGGTACTGCCGTTTTTTTGATGTTGTTGTTGTTTTTTTCACTTCTGCACTAACTACCAAAACATTTTCCCAGAGTGAGTCCATGTCTTTCTCAGTTTTTGTGTTGCACTTTGATCTTTAAAACAGTTGCTTCAATCTGTTTGAACTATAAGCATAGGGGCTGTACAGCAGCTAATAAACTGAAGGTATCACATACATCTCCTTTGTTTTTTCCTGCTCCTTCTTACAGAAGATGATAGCTGTCTTTACATTTTCAACTCAAAGGCTGGGGTTGACCCGGGTAGGACACCAAACCCCAGAGGATCAACACATTAGCTACATTAGCCGTGTAACCCACATCATTAGCTGTGACATTTTAACTGGCTTGGGAAACACTTGGTGTGTTTTGGCAACAGAAGCAAAGGCAGATGATACACGGTCTGAGAAAATGGTTGCCATCGATCTCCATGCTCACCTCTCCTTCTTGTTCAGTCATTCCCTCTGAAACCTGAACTGATATCTCATGACAACAGGGATAACAAGCTTAAGATCAGTCACAGGATTTCAGGGAACAGGAGCATCCATGTGCATTTGACTTGGTGACAGCTTTGGGTTCAGAGTGATTTTAGGGAATATGGAGAGCAAAGATGGAGCAGATGTTTTTTAGGTAGCGAGAATCTCTCAGAGATCACAGCTGTGCATGGACTTTGATTTAAAGGAGTCACAGTCAAAGGACTTAAACCTCAGGGGCACACACATGCTCCTTCTTTCCCCTTTTTCTTCTTCTCTCTCTGGGTCCCACAGTTGCACACTGCCCTCTCTATCTGCTCAACACTGTCCACTCTCCCTCTTCTTGTCCCCTTAAGCCACGGGTCAGAGAGGTCAGGCCAGATATCATTGAGTCTGAGGGCTTTAGAGGAATAAAGAGCGCCTTTCTTTTCTCTGGTTTCATTTTTATCCTGTCACTGCACCTCTCGTCATTCTGGATATTTGATGCCAGAAAATCCTCTGTTAAAGGGCGGAAAGAGAGCGAGCAGCAGTTGATGTTTAAAGATGGTTTCATAGAGGCCTGATGGGCTGGATTTATGGGTTTAACTTTGGGTTTGTTGTGACAGACATTCTTTATACATATACTCTTTGTGGTATCCTTTATTGTTGTTGGAATTATATAGTTGATGTGTAGCTGTTAAAGGAAATATCAAGGTTTTGGACCACTAAATGTTGTGGCTGTTTGGTTTAGACCAATAAATCTCAGTGCCAACTGGTAGAGTCTGCCTTACAAGTTGGAGTGCTGGGCTAAAATGTCTCTAATTTAAGTGAAAGTTCGAGTTTAAGTTCAATAGTTAAGTTGCATTAGTTGCCAAAAGTTGAACAGTTTAGTCTAGCTTTAGTCAGCAAATAGTCATCACGTTTAAGTCTGGATTTAGTTGCCCAAATTCAAACAGTTTTGTCTAGTTTTAGTTGCTGAAGTTAAATATTTGAATCTAATCAAGAATCTAGTTTTAGAAGTTTTACTTGATGAAAAGTTGAAATAGTTAAGTTCAGTCGTGGTCAATAAAAAGTCAAAACATTCTAATCATTACTGCTTGTCGAAATATTTTCTGTCCTCAAACTAATTGAATCAATCAATTAATCAAGCAGAAATAGGTCTAGAGGATTTCTAAGCGTTTAAATTTGGCTTGTGAAATATCCGGTACTAATGTGTCAGTCGTGAATGAACCAGTTCAAAGAGCTAGCTCTTTAATGTAAACAATGGGAGCCGGCTCCCGTCTGTGAGACGTTTTTTTTTTTCTCTCTCTCTCTCTCTTTTTGTATTTGATTTACTTTGCGGTTGCAGCTTTTGTTCTTGATGGTGGTCAGTTCAAATAGACACCTAAAACTGTGAAATGCTGCTGTTTTGTTCATTGCAATACAGCTAATTCTTTTAATGTTATTTATTTGATTATTTGTGTTTAAATAAACTTTTAAAGATTTTTTTAAATAAGAGTATGTGTACACATACTTACATCTCAAAAGCCAAACAACACTAAATTTGGCTGAATTAGAAAATGTGTAAGTGGTAAAATGAAGACACATTTGGGAGCCGAAAGAGCTGAGCCACTAAAAAGAGCTGTAATTCCCATCACCGTTATCTGGAGTCACATAGGTTGGAAAATATGATGGGTTTTAAATGTCCGACATTTCACCAAAATAATTTTGTCTCATCCTTGTCTCATCAAAACAGGCAGATAATACAGAATAATGTTCTGCAACAATAAAATCACTTAAATTACTTTCACAAACCAAAAGCTTAACGGTTGGAAACAATCAAGTCAGCCTGGACGTCCCTTGAATGCTTCACCGATGCCTGCCCACTCTCTGGAACAGTAACTCACAGAGAGTGGGGGGGCTGAGATCTCCCTACTTCCTCTCCTGAAAACACAAGAAACCAGAAGAACCTGGAGACAACCTGTTTGTTATTCCCTCAGGTAATCCCACGCTCACCAGTGCATGGCTGAGCAGACCATTGTGGAAAACACAGCAACACTGCTCTGCTTCCAGAGACTTCTCTCTGCTCACTGGTAAGACAGGTTTAAGACAAGTTTCTGAAATGTTATGAAAAAAGAAGAAGAAAAAGCTGCATCCTTTACTTGAAAACCATGTTCATATTCCAGGGCTGATATTTCTGATGCTTTTCTTTTGTTTGCATGACAAATGACAAACAAAAACACGTGTGTTCTTAAAACTGTCAGCCTTGGTGGATTTGACAGAGAAGCACATTACTTATTTGCCTGATTTGCTAACAGAGTCCTCTTCTACAGGTAACTGGTGTGTACAAGAGGCCTGATTCTCAGGTGAGTCAGTCTCAAGTGACTCCCACCTGGATGGTTTACTCAGGGTGTTGAGTCTCCTGGGAACACACGGATAGGATGTCAGCTGCTGCTTCCTGCTTGAGCCAGTAACAGGAACTGGCTGAGTTCCAGTGAGTGTGTGTGTGTGTGTGTGTGTGTCAGACAGACGACTGGGCAGCAAGCCCAGGTACAGCAGAGCCCAGGTGTTCCTCAATGAAGAACACAATGAGCGTGTGCAAACATGGAGGGACAGACAGGCAAATGGAGAGGGATTGGTATCAGAAAGCACACCTGTTGTGCACCTGCCCTATCTGCTCAAAACACACGTATTATGGATGCAGCAGTTGTAAACACAGACGCACACAGACACACACAGACCCACACAGAAACAAAGCTTCCTCATGCAAGTGTCTTTTGAATTAAAATCACCGCAGCTCTGAGAAGATGGATCAGACATATCTCAAGTTTTAGTCAGGAAAAACTGCGTCAAAGTTCTCTCTCAGACTTCAAACAACTTCGAAGCTTTAACAACTTTCTGTCACTTTCCCTCTGCCCTCGCTGCCTTTCCCGGCTCTCCTGCTGAGCTCTTCGCTCTCTGTGTCATTAGGCAGCGCATCAGGGATTAAGAAGGCGATGGGAGGATCTGATTCGCAGCAGAATCCACTAAGTCTGGCATTACCACACACCTCACAAAGCACAGGGGAGTTTCTAATCCAACGCGTAGCACAATCCTACTAATGCATTCATATCAGACACACAGGAAACAGAGGTCGGCGTGGAATTAAACAGCAAAGTGTTACTGTCAAGTTTAGTACTGACATGGTTCTGTTTGTTTCTTGCCATGAGGTCTGCAGAAATCTGTGTTTTTGTGACGCATTAATAAGGTTAGGAAGATTATCTACATTACCCACAAACTGCAAACCTACATACAACCAAGCAGTATATTTCAGACGTATCAGCCTCAATCCAATTGCTGTGTTCATTTTAACATGTTTCCCTGAAATATGAAACGTGATAAAACCAGTCTAATCCAGTTCCAAGTGCAGAGTTAAGCAGGACGTTGATGTCAAAGATGGACAGCAACAATCTGGGATGCAGAGGATGAGGAAAGAGGCTGTCTTCACGTTTACTATCTTTGCAGAGCACTGAATGTGTGCATGTGATCTCACAATGAGAGACACGAGTCTGCGGTTACTCTAATACAAAAATGTCCACTTTAATTTTCAAGCCAAACACAGATGCTGTGAAATGAATTCAGTAAAGCAGCAAATCAATCATAAGGGCTTTAAAGAAGCGGGAAGGAAGGGGGGAGAAAGAAGGGGGAGGAGACATAATGTGTGAGAGCAGCAGTGGTTCTCTGTGACATGCATCATCGCTCCTGTCTCCTCACTGTATCTCCCTAATGGGAGCAAAGCTGTATGTGTTGGTGTGCACGAGTGTATGTGAGGGGGAGATAGAGTAAGGGGGGGGGGTGAGTCTTACTGTCAGAAAGACTCATACAGACTCCAGTGTGTGTGTGTGTGTGTGTGTGTGTGTGTGTGTGAGAGAGAGAGAGATAGAGATAGGGACTAAATGAGCTCCTGGCGGGACTGACCCTCCTCACTTCTCACCGGTCCGTCAGAGAGACTGAGCGCTCCACTGGAGCATGGCCACAGGCACGCTGTTGAATACTGAAAACACACACACTCTCTCACACACACATTCAGGAGGGGGGAAAAAAGTTGTACAAGCTCTCTGCAGACGTGTGCACACACACACACACACACACAAACACACAGAAGCGGCTCCAAACAGAGTTAAATGCCATCTCAGAAACTAAACAGAAAACTGACTGAGGTCATCCTGCATTTCGGTTCACATGACGTCATGGCGAGCGCAGAAAAAGTGACAAAATGCATGTGTTTGTTTGTGTCTCAGGAAAGACCCATGAGAGCCAAAGATTTCTGTCTCCAAACGTGCAGCCTGGGGTTCAGCAGCAGTCATAATTATGATTCATGTCTCTGTAAACAGTCATACATGTCGGAGAACGTTCCCGCCAGCCCCGAGTGTGGGAAACCGAAGCGTTAAATGCATTATCCGTGTGTGCATGTGTGTGTGTTGTTGTTGCATATGCAGGTTTAGGGCTAAGTATAATTACTCTTGGTGACACATCCCACATGACTAATGAGCGAGATTTGGGCGCAAGACGTGGAGCTCATTAGTCAGAGAATGGTAGGTAAAGCTTCAGTGCGCCTGCAGAACACCACTGCCGAGGTCGTCGATGCTCGTGAAATTCTGCCGCCTGATTAATTTCACGTATGTGACTCTAACATGTGACGTCATATCTGTGTCCTGCTGTGTGTGTGTTCTCTACTCTCATCAATAGAAAGGCCGTGACCTGACATGCAGTCAAACAGACACATCATTTCAGCTTAATAAGGCATTACTGATAGAACACCGCTGTTTATAGCTCTGCACTGAAGCGAAATATAAGGAAAATAATGTCGAGTTTAAACCCCATAAAAGGAAATCGACAGGGATATTTGATTCATTAACTTTTAAGATGGAAAGTTATGACGTTACCTGAATTTAACCACTGAATATAAACCTTTATGCTGATAGTAAAAGTAATGTCCAGGTTTAATCTAGTGATGGGAAGAACAGTTCTTTAGACTGTACTGAATCGAACAAGCCCCTCCCCTCCCCTGCTGCTGAAGTCACAGCGTCATTCACTGGGTGATACTTGTCGTTCATTCGTCAAGTCCTAAAGGAAGAATCACTCCCCTGCCCTGGAAAACTCACCTCTCTGTGTGCTGCTGAAGTTCGCATCGCGACACGAGTGAAACAACACGGCAGCAAGCAGCACGCCTGCAAAACGAGCGCGAGTCGTCTTCCTTTTATATCGCAGAAAAGTGGAGAGATTAAAAATAAATAAACATCACAGCTGTAGCGGGGGTTCTGCTACATTTAAAGATATCAAAGAGTGAATTGCTTTAAATTGGCTGAAATTGAATCCTTCTTGCAGGAAAGTTCATTCATGACTGACTGACTGATACATGTCGTTCATTTGCTGTGAGCAAATCATGAGACTCCCCTGCCCGCCCGCTGGCGAGCTTCTGTGTGTCATTCGCTGAAGAGTCAAAGGCGGCAGTTCCACTACCAACCAGCACGCCACACTCATGGCTGAGCTCAACTGAACTGAGAAAGGAACAAATCAGGTCTTGGGGTGATTCCATTCACTTTGTTCACTAAGCAGTTTCGTTCTTTTGAATGAATCGTTCATGAACGACACAACACTAGTTTAATTTGAATCAGTTAACGCTTGATGTCTTTATGTGTAAAGAGATTTCTGTTTTGTTTGTACAGAAACTGGTCATTATGTTTTACTTAAGAGCCTCGTACCTGGATCCTGAAGAGTAAACATGCTGTGCTCTTGTGGTTTCTACTGCTGCTGACCATTCAGATAACAGGTGTCATGTATGAAGGTCTTGTGTTGCTACATCTATTGTTCCATATATGAGTAACTCATATGTTGTGGGGGGAAGGCAGGGATGTTACAAGGCCAGATAAAAGCCTGTGGGTGAGGGTACGAGCGCACGCTTATCATAATGGGTTCTGGGACATAAAGTCTTTTTTACTCCAGGTCAGGGGGTCATGGGAGAAGGAAGAAAAAGGGCAGAAACTAAAGCCTAAATGTCTGTCTCACATTTCTGTCTCACATAACAGCCACAGAGATAAGACGTGTTTTTATAAGAGAGCGGAGTAAAAGCAAAACTTGTGAGGAATGGAGGACGTCACTGAGCCTTTTGAATGTTTGGTATTTTTATTTTAGCAGTACAAAAAAGCCACAGCCAAAAGCAACGCAGCAGTGCTTCTAAAAGGATATTGCTATTCAGAGTTAAACTCAAAGTGTGCTGAGAAAAAAAAAAAAAAAAAAAAAAACCTGGAAGAGAAATATGAAAAAAAAGTAATTTCAAGTATTAAAAAAGGGAAAATACACTAAAAGCCCTCGACTCTGCGCTCTGCTGCTAACAAAGACTCTCTCACACAGTGGGAGCGCTCCAGCTGAAATGGTTAATGGAAGGTCAGTCCTTGAACCAAGCAGCAGAGCGGCACAAAGAGTTAAGCAGTGGAATAGAGAGGCTTTCATAAATCATCCCATTTCTCTCTATAGAGACACAGAACAACAAAACATACATTTGACAGGAGGGAGAAATGATCAAGGTGTTCCTATGAGAAACATTCAGGCTCACCTTCATTCACTCATCACTCGTCTCTGTGATTTCCATCCAAATGAAAGAACAGGATCATATTTGTAATGCTAATCCGGCCTTCGTGCTGCATATATGTGCAGCAGGTAGAGAGTGTTGTTCTGTATTCTGCACACATGTTCAATCAGGGCGAGGGCTTTGTGGATTCTAATCTCACACTTTGTGATCCGCAGATATCCACCAGGAGAGGTTTGTGCACTGGAATGTGAGGAGAGTGTTTGCCTCCATGTGACAAGAGGTTCAGAGGGAGATTTACATTTTTCTATTAGTGGAGACAACAGCGGGACGTGACGCCAGCGAGTATGAATTAAACAGAGCAATATCTCTGGATGGAGTTTTGAGTGGAAAATGGCTGAATTTTATCACTAAATTTTTCACCACAGGGCTCTAACTTTTTAAGAATTTTACAAAAACAGTTACAGACCCGCTCAGGCTGATTTAATAATTCACTTTGAGGTTTTTGCTCTTCTTTAAAAGCTCGCGCCATGATGCTGTCATGTTTAAGGAAAGTATAAGGTTGCAAAGAGATTTCTGGACATCATACATGTAAGAGGCTGTTCGTCCTCACGCTGTCACAAAAGTTGTTTTTATACAAAAGTTGAAAGTCTGTGCACAAACACAGATTTCAGTTGGAGTCTTTAGACTTCTTTGTATTTGTTCTTCATCCTCCTCAATGGTGTCGGTACCACGATCGATCATCGCTAATCCACGTCCGCATCCAGGTTGAGCTCTGTGCTCAGGTTGAGGTAGAAGAAGGCGTAGACACAGAGGACAAAGAAGAGGATTGCGGCGACGACCAAGAATGCATCCTGAGCAATAAAAGAGAGAGAGAGAGAGAGAGAGAGGAGGTTTTAAAAAGTTTGGTTTTATTTACAGAACTAACAGTATCTTATCTGTCCTCATGCAAAGGAGCAGCTCCACTTTGTTTGACTATGTTTGCAGTAATTATTATTTATCCCTCTTGTTATGTCTATATTTGCCAAGTCCCTTTTGTCTTTCTTTTCATCTAAATTTGCAGCAGTCCTTCAGGACTCTATACCAGCCTGACTTTGTTTCTAAGAATACTCCGCTGATACTCCGTTTCTCAGCTTGTTTTTTAAGTCAATATTAAATATTTAATCAGTAGTTTATGAGTTTGCTCTCAAAGACAAGTCTAATTATACAAGTATCAATCATCACACTTTCATTTCACTTCTTTAAAGAGCAAATTTGCTTTAATAAAACAATATTTAAAAAATAAAGTTGGGTTTACGCTGCGGTTTATATCTGCTCTGAACAACTGGGAAACATCTGAGTGTCCTCTCCACGTCTTCTTTGGCAAACACAGAACAGACATCAGCGTCTGAGCCATCTGTCACCGCTTCTTCTTCTTTGGAGGCTGCAACTTTATTTCACACCCAAATTTGTGTTTTTCAGACAGCTGAGCGCACGATACAGACATGCCACCAACTGATCTACCTCTTTTACCGCTTTAACAACACTTATAATCATAACAATAATAATTTTATCTATATTGGACCTTTAAAAATGCTTATGAAGTGCTTTGACAGACAAAACAAAAGTAAGAAACTCGGGCACAGGAGACTGGAAAGTTCAAACAATGTGGGAGCAACATAAAAGAAATCAACGAGAATAAAAGTAATAAAAGAAACTGATTTTCAAAGGCAAAAATAAATCATGAAACATTTGTTTGACTCTGAAAGCTGCTGCAGAGATTGTAAATAGACTTCTTCTTACCACCGAAAATTCATCCGGTGATAATGAAGGAGATGAAAATTCACTTGTTGCAGATAAAAGATAGGCTTATAAAGGAAAAAGCAGAGGCGTAACCGGTCATCGACTTGTGGAGGGCAAACTTGACATTATTCTTCAGAGCGTTTATGAACAGTTTTCTTTTTTAGTTGAGCATTACCGGCACAGACCATACATGGATCTGCTGGAATTTATAAAGAAGGGTTTGTGGGGACGGGAACTGATAAGATTTTATTGATGTAATTATTGATTCTGCTCATCAATTCAGTTCTTTAATGATTCTCTTATCAATGCCTTTCCTTGATTTAAAAAAAAGTATACTGTAGGTTTTCACCGTTAACTCGAAATTTATTGAGTCTCCGATAACAGCAAAATGTGTGCCACCTTCAGTGAGAGTCTAGAAATAATCAAATGACGAAATATTTTACAGCATTTACTTCGGTCGGTATCAAGTCAGATTAGGGTGACCATATTCTGAATCCCCAAAAAGAGGGCACTACTACATGGGGTGGAGTCACACGCAAAATTTTGAGGTTCTTTTTGGGTCACGTCAAGAGTTTTTTATACACTTCTAATTCAGTAAGTCCATGCTACAAAAACTCAAACCTTTCATGAAGAAAGGAATCGTTAAGGGAATCTGAAGATAAAAACGTTAACGATGACAATGTAGGGTGACCATATTCTGAATTCCCAAAAAGAGGACATGACTATGCGGGGGCGGAGTCACGGCGTTGCACAATGTTAATTTTGAGAGTTTTTTGGGTCGGATCAAGTGTCTTTTATGACCTTCTACCTCAGTAAGTCCACATGACACAAACTCAAAACTCACCTTTGCTCGACAAACGTTACACGTTGCGCTTTTGATGTCTTTCTTAGTAAATTGAACCACACTTTAGAAGTCTCTGTTCTTGTTCGTGTAGACTAGCTCTTGTGAGGCCGTTTTTCAGGGCACCCGGAAGAAAGGAATCGTTAAGATGTAAGAATGTAAACAATGACAATGTAGGGTGACCACATTCTGAATCCCCAAAAAGAGGACACAAATATGTGGGGGCGGAGTCACAGAGTCGTACAAAGTTAAATTTCAGAGTTTTTTGGGTCGGATCAAGTGTCTTTTATGCGCTTCTAGCTGAGTAAGTCCACTCGAAACTTCCATACAAAACTGCAGACATGTGAAGGATTTTATAAACTTCCCTGGACAAAGCCGGACAAGGCCGGACAGCCCCCAAAAAGAGGACATGTCAGGGTAAAAGAGGACGTATGGTCACCCTAGATGATGGGTTGAACCATTTCTCAACCAGAACCAGTTCTTGATTCCCATCCCTACTGGTTTGGGTGCTACAGAAAAGGCAAAACTGAAAAAGAGCCAAAACTGAAAGCACTGACAGACTACTTAATAATAATTATAATGATAATAATAACAGGGCAAAAGTATGAGTATCTTTTCTTAGTGTCTCCATCCGTTTGATAGCTCTCCTGAAGTGAAACTTTCTCTGACAAAATGCCCTAATTCTTTCTCTTTTTTCTTTTAATTTCTTTTGGCTAATTGTCAAACAAATTGAGGCTTTCCAGAGGAGTGGCATTCAACTTGAAAATGGGGAATCTGGAGCGCTCTTTCATTACATGGCGCTCGCTCGATTACAATCTTCATCAGCTGGAGTTTCATTAGGGCCACTCAGACTATTCAACAATGCCGGTTATTCTTTATCAAGAGAACTCATTAGCTGCAAACTTTCTAATCAACACAGGAGAGCTTGGAGAGCTTGAACATGGCGCATAGCGTTTTGGGCTGATTGAGGGTTATTGACAAAGAAATATTTGATTTGAGCATTATTTGGAGCTGTGGGTTTGGGGTGCAAACTGGGCCACAAAGGTAACAAGGATGAACTGCACAGGACTGCAATCTCAAATTCATAACATGACTTGTATTTATGCAGATATTTCCCATCCAGTTTTGCAAAGAAATCAATCACTAGTGTTATGTCAATATGTATGTCTCATTATGTCGACAGGTTGAGAGGATGCAACGTTACAGTCGGGGGGAAAAGACAAACAGGAAAGTAGCAAGCCAGAGTTTTAGCAGCAACTGTGACAGATGTATAAAATGCAAAAAAAAACAAACACAAAAAATGAGAATTTGAGAAAACATCAGTTCAGTAATTGCCATAGCAGCGTGCACGCACGTACGCTCGCACGCACGCACGCACAAACAGAGTCTGCAGATTCAACCCACCGGCCAAACTGCAGAGAGAGAAACAGGAGCAAGAACGACAGAGAAAACAAGAGTGAGATAAGGCTCGGCACAAACCAGGGGTGGCAGGGGGCTAATAATAATTCTTCTCTGTCGGAGGGTGGAGGAGGGGGGACAATTAAAAGGCGTCGCAGCATCCGCAGCTATCTGTGTACAAGTTGTAGTGCCTAGTCATCAGCGGCATTGGTCTTCATTAGCCTCAGCCCACGTTTATCTGCATCCCGGCAGCCTCCAAACAGCTTTAAGTCCCAGCTTAATTGGAAAACTTTTAAATTTCATGCACTTTAGTTTCATATATTAACCGCCAGGCTCCCACCGCTTGATTTACTTTTCTATTTTGCCCCAGCCTTGGAGAAGAGAGAAACTGTTATCAAATCACGCTGGCTTGATTGTTTTCTGCTTCTTCTTGTGCTCGCTCACAGCTTTGAAAAACATGACAAAGAGGAGCATTTGTAATTTTGGCGGCGACACCGGGAAGAAAAGTGTGTGTGCGCCTGACACAGATTGATTCACAGCTGAAACAAAAGGACCCACAACGCTGGAAAACCAGTTTTTTTTTCTAGCCTTTCTCTTGGCTTCAGGTTTGAGAGAAAGACAACAGCTGGTTATGGCGACTCGTTTCTGAAAACAAGCTGGAGGGGTTTTTAGGTGAAAACACTCGAGTTTGTAGGAAGCACCTGCACTTGATTGAGATCATTGTTTTTGAGAAGAGAGACCCACTGTGTTGACTCCTGCTTTGCCCGCCTCACAAACATATTTACACGCCCACACACACACATACACTCAGGCGTAAATGCACAGCCGCTTCGCCGACATTCTGATGGAGACCTCTGGATGGGGCCCAAAGCACATCATCATCTTCATCATGAGGCTCTCTCAGCGCCGGCGGCAGCTGCAGCACACTCGGCATGCTGGGAGCTCAGTCCCTGTCACCCTGGCGACGAGCCAGAGCTCAGCAGACGTCCCCTCATCTGGTCTGCCTTTTGTTCTCCTGCTATGTTTTGTTTGTCCGTATATATATGTGTGTGTGCGTGTGTGTGTCAGTACTTCTGTGCCTATGTGTGAACCGTAGAGATTCTGTGTGTGTGGTGCTGGATGTGGGCGGCAGATATCCACAACACACAAACAACTGTTGGTTGCAAGACATTGGAGGAACAGGTCTGTGGATTTTAGTTTTGAAGTCCAATTCCGCTGCACAAACAGGAAAACTTTATCACTTCCCACACACATATATACAGCGCCCAGCATAAGTCAGTACACTCCATATTAAAAGTAATGCATTACTCAATATCTAGATGAGCTAAAGTACAATTTCCAAAATTTGGCCAAGCTAAGTTTACCACTTAACATTTTATTTACCATAAGATAAAAATAAGGGTGATATGGTAACTAAAATTTAGTTTTGCAGAACTTTGATTGAGGCGCACTCATTTTTGCATCCTCATTTTAAATTGGAAAAAAAAAAAAAAAAAAAAACTTTTTTGTATGCAACTTTAAAAAAATGTTTGCAATCAATGGCCTACATTTGGAGGAGTATTTTGTTGTATAGTCTGACATAGAAAATGTTGATTTTGAAAGGAAACTTAAGGTTTTCTGACAACTCTGAAGGGATGTACTCATTTAAGCTTAACACTGTATGTGAATATATATATATATATATATGATACTTGGATGCCGCCTATGCATATTTACACCCACCAAATATATGTGCCACAGTATCTCCAACATGTTGTCCTTCATTAGAACTAAGTATCATGCAGCCACAGGTGGAGAGAGGAAAGCAGGGAGAGGAGCAGCAGCAGGAGGAGGAGGGTGTGTGCTCATGAGTCTGTACACAAGTGTCTGAAAGGCCAAGGGACAGAGTAAGCATGACTACAGAGAGGCTGTACACAGTGATTTTAAAAGTGTTTGGCTTTTTCGGTTGGTTTGACTGCACAACAACAACAATAACAAACAAAAAAATTATTATTGAGTCGACTCACAAAAGAGAATCCAAGTTTTATAGAGTTAATTAGGAGGTTGAAAATCCAAGTCAGTCTTCCAACATGTACACACCATACATTCAGAAATGACAGCTGGATGATACTGACAGTCATTATCTGTACTCTCCATCCTCTGCCAATTCTATAAGCGATTTACCCAACTTCCCTGGCTTAGCGGCTAAATAAGACCGAGGGAAAACAGTGCAGAACTGAACAGAAGGCGACTGTGCCAATTAGAAAAGGCAGCAGGCTCGTTTCCTCTGCTACAGGCTATGTGCTGGAGCTACTTCGAAATGTGCCTCTTCCTCTTCTTCTCTCTGGGCAAACCGAAGATAGACTTCCTGCCAGTTTCTTCATCTCTGCTGTCGTGACCTCCATGCCATCCAGAGTTGGTCTCAGCTGGAAAGGAAATATGTCCACACTTGCATTCAGGCAGCAGCGAGCCACCTCTGTTAACACACCGTGACTCGACATGTGTTAAAGAACACACACGGACGCACGGAGGAGCTGCTCCTTGACACTTCAGAGGTCAGTGTTTTGTGATCGCTGCGATGGGAACAGAAGTTCTCCCTCTCTTACTTTGTCTTTCTGCATGTCTCCATTCTTTCCTCTGCCAACTCACCCAGACTGGCCTGCTACTAGGACAGCCCTGAGACAGCCTGCCCCGGCAGCTGCCAGCCTCTCTGTGCCCGCAGTCTGCTGGCCCTTCTGAGATGCCAGCTGCATCTGAAAGCTGCATCTCCACCGGAACCGTGGTGGACGGCAGAGAGGAAAAGGAGGGAAGAAAATGAAAAAAGAGAGGAGGAACAGAAAGAGGGAGAGAAAGGAAAAAGAAGATAAAGTGGAACCAAAATATTGCTGTTAACTTCAGGCTGGATGACTGAGAGGAGGGGTCGCTACTGTCATCACAGAGCTGTGGAAAAATCACAACTTTCTACATCACTAATAGAACTCGATGGGAAAGCAAGCATGACCAAATATCCATTACATTTGGGCTGAATTTCCATCCAACTTCAGGCCAAAGGGTCCAAGTCAGTTTAATGTACTCGTCCCAGAGGTATTTTTAATCCGACCTCAGAAAATTCCCCCTCGTCTTGGGCGTGAAAATGCTGAATTATTCATAAGCACTATCAATATTTCAAGATATGGACTAATCTAATTGGATTAAAGACCTGCTTAATGAGGCCTTGCGTGTCTAAGAGATGCATATTTTAAAACCTGACCATTTCACCCAGTGTTTAATCCTCACTATGATTCGTTCATCTCGGTGTACCGTGTGCCAAGTCAAGCTTGAAGAGGAAGCCGTGCTTTTGGGTTCTCAAACGTCCTCAATTTTCAACACTTCCATGGAAAATAAACATGTGTAAATCAAATTTTTACTGCCTTTCCACTATTAAAAGCATTAGAAACCACAGAGTACCTGTTTGTACCAAAGTGTTACACAATGATGAAGTGGATTAGGGAACCTACGATGGTATTTCTGAGAGTATCTTGTTTGCAAAAGTTTATTTCAAACAGAGGAACATTGAACCAAATATTTAGTGGTCATACTTGACCAGCAGTGATACCGATTATTTGTCAGAGCCGAGCTTGCTTCAGTTAATCCATTAATTGCCCAGTTGAACTTTTATGATTTTTCAGCAAACCAAACCAAAGTCGATTTTCTAACGGCTTCATAAGCAAACAAAGTGAAAGTTTTAATGAACTGTATTAACCTCTGTTCGTAGTTCATGAGACTCATCAACAGTATTTGGAACTGATAAGCGTTGAGAGTACCAGTGAAACGTTTCCATCAAAATGAGAACCAGGAATATTGCAAATTTTAACTTTGGCCAAAATCAATCATTCTTCTACCTGCGCTTTTAATGCCATAGGCTGTTTTCAGGTCGCCAGCGATGTGGCGAACCCCGCGCAGTGGTATTTCCATCTGGCGGCGCCCAGTGCACAGCCAGTTTGGTATTTTTGTGGACTGAGGCGCACCAAGGTCCGCCAAGCTGGGCGTGGTGGCGCAGCAGGGGGAGGTGTTGACAGAATTAGCTGGTGCAGTGACATTTTCATGCTCGCCACCAGCGTATAAAGTGCGCTGAAAGCTTGCAGATTGAAACCTGGTCAGCTTTCAGCGCAGGTGGAGCGCAGCTGGTCTAGTGGTATTTTAGTAGACTGGCGGCGTATCGGCATACGTCACCGATGCCTCATCGGCAGGTTCCCACAGAGTCATGCTGCAGCTGCAGCTGCTGCTGCAGCTGCTGCTGCCGCTGCTGCGGCGGCTGAACAGATGATTTATTTTAGTGCTCAGATGAGTTATTTACTTTAAGCCGACATACGAATATTATAATATTCAGTCTTATGAGCCAAATTTATTTTATATGTCAACATCTATGAAAGAAAGAGCCAGGCCACGGAGCGCGCTGCGTCCTTTACACACAGGTGGTTCCGATTTTAATGCCATTATTGGAATTTATTTTGTGATCTGTGCGCTCAACCCACCTTTGTCACGTGAGGTTTAAATATATGCAACTTTATGTGAGTGTCTTTATTTGTGGAAAGGGTGTTTCTGTTACTAGTGGGTCCAACATTACACACACCAAATCCATCTGTGCTTATATGAGACAGTGTGGAGGACGCCCAATGCAGCCCTTACAGTGACACTTGTTGAGGAGCTGCCTTCTGTCGCCATCGTGTGGCATTGCTGTTTTCAGACATCTCTTGATCTCTTTGACTAGTTCACGAAAATTGTAATACACTTCGCCACTGTCGGATTCTGATTGGCAAAAACAGGTCTCGGCTGCGCCGCTCACCAAAATGTGCTTGGGCATGCCTTGTCGGCGCGGCAGACCTGACTTACGCCGCGCGTACACCATGTCGCCGGTGATGAACGAATATAGAGCCCCGTGTCTGATTTTATCAGCTATAAATGCATTGTTGCTGATGCTGGCTTTTTACTATTATGGGAGTCTTTGCTGCTGCTCTACCTGCCTTGACTGAAACAGACAATAAGGTAAATGCCAAATATTAGCCCATAACAGTGTACCCCTGATCGAGTAGTCATCTGCATATAACAACAATCTCTGCAATGTGCACCTTTGAACCCAGCAACATCTACCCTTCTATTTACCTTAACATCAAATGACAAAACTCTAATTTGAACCCTGCATTATCACTCTTCTTTTCTCGTTAGATTTTCAACTTCTATCTCACAGTGCCCATAATCCATCTCTGATGTACCTTTTTCATTTAAAGAAGAAGGAAACCTTGAATTTAAACCCTCCAGGAACTCATTGTCTTAAAAAAGTTGTATTTTTCTTCTTCCTTTTTTTGGCAGATGAGACAGGCTTTTTAAACTTCTTCAGAGAACTCTCCCATTCCTCCTTTTTCCCAAATGATAGTTTTAGGCAGGGGGCCCCATCCCATCATTTCAGGTAGATAGATAAATTCACGTTCCCTGAAGACCCACGGTAAGATGTGACAGAGCTCAGAGTCTGGGATATGAAAAGTGATCTAGTGAGACACGCTCTCAAACAGGCAGACAAATGGAAAGAAGATGGTTGGCAGACAGACAATAAGCAGAATCACAGATGGGCCGAGACAGACCGACGAGGCGAGTAATAGAGGAAGACATTAAGATACTGACTTCAGAAGTCCTGAAGAGAAAACAGGGTTTTTCCTGGCTCCGAATGGGGCTGAGATGGTGCCCTCTTTACTGTGTGCAGACAACAGCATGGACGCTTCACCAAACACACATTTTAAGAATATCATTGACTGTATAATCAGAGTAAGAGGAATCTCAAAAAAGTAATAATCTTAATCAAGTTCTTCTTCTTACATATATTAGTCTGTTATATATAATAATAAATTTGAATTATTAAATCAATTAAATAAAAGAAAAAAAGGACAATTTTTCAGTTTAAAGTTTAAACCAAAACTAAATTTATTACATTTAATCTGAGAATCCCTCTCAAGTTGAAATCTGCTACTTCATTGTATTTTGGTGTATTTTTATGCACCAATTTGTCATGAAACGACCTTATAATAAATGTCTATCACTTTCTACATACTGCCATCTTTTACTGTCCATAATAAATTGAATTATTATTCTCTGCTCTCTCACCTTACAGAATTATGAATTATCAATATTTATCTATTTATTTGTTTATTTATTTATTATGTTTTAAAACCAGATATGGAAACTAAATCTTTTATCACATTTGGAAGCAATGTTGGTTTGTTGATGTACCATGAACTGATACCATGCAATATCATCTCCTGGTCTGGAGTCCAGTTATTGGTACAGGGTTTACATGACCTGATGAAAGCTTACTAGCAAATCAGTGTTATAAGCTCTTACCTCTCTTGATGGAAATAGCATGTTTTCTATTTTATTGTTTTTTTAATCCTTTTTTTAAACAATATGCATTCCTCTACAGTATTTACGCTTGAATGGTCTTTTCAATAACATATTGAGGTGCTGCAACCAAGAACAGAGGGTGCTCAGTATCAATTTAACTTGTTTTTAAACAAGTGGTTTTACACTCAGACAGTCCAAACTGGTCTTACCTTGAAACCAGAAGAGGTCTTCTTTGCTTCAGCTTTCAGCCGTGTTGCTTTTAAGGCTGACTTTGTCTTCTTATAGTCTTGTTTACCTGGGGAAAAAAATAATTTAAATGACTGAAAAGTTTTGATTTGCAGGTTTCATTATGATGCTTCTGCAGGGTTTGGAGAGTTGATGAGCATGGCGAAGGAATAGCCCCTTAGTTGGTTAATCTTGGTGAGTTAAATGTTGTGTTTCTCACACTTTTATTTCTTGATAGGACTTCTTTTCTTCTTTCAAATCAAGCCCCAAAAATTTCTCTATTTCATTCAGAATAATAATAATAATGCAAAGAAGCAAAATAATGCAGGTGCGTTTAACAGCAAAATTAGATATCAGATGATGCAGATATCTGCACAGTAAGGCTGAATGTACAGCATTAAAATGAACCCAAATGCATTCATCCCTCTATCTATCATCCAAAAAACAAAGCCATAGATTTAGTCTAAGCAGCACGAACTTCACCTGTGCTGGCTCCCCTTCCCATGGGCTTGACTCTCAGGGGTGATTCTTGTGGGCAAACTGGCCACCTGGCAAAGCCTGTGTGTGTGTGCGTGTGTGTGTGTGTGTTTGTGTGAGCTGCACATGAGGCAGAGCCGGCTGTCTTGGTCTAATTAGAAACAACACACTGCAGGAAAGGGAACTTTGCTAACAATAGGTTGGAAAGGCAACAGCTTGCTGAACAGTACGTGTGTTTGTGTGTGTGAGCATGTGTGCTGCTATCTTTGTGAGCACCAATTTACGCACCCAGGTTGTGGACATAGCTGCAAGTCTGTGGATTTTATTTCAAAAATAAAGTTCATGTTGGAGTTTGGAATCAGATCAAATAAAATCAGGTGATGGTTTGGATTTTAAATTGTTGACTAAATAATCAATGGTCCTCGAAAGTAGAGGTTTATGCACATGAACGAGACAGAAATCAAGTCCCAGGGTCAGCTAGGACTTTCTCTCAGCCGGTGATGTGACATCAAGTTTCAACTCCCCACCAATTAGGGCTTATTTACATCCAAAGAGGGAACACAAGAAGTAGAGGGAGGACAGAAGGAGTCTGGATCCATCTGGAAAAGTTGTGGGAGAGAAAAGATTCAAAGTGTGCTGATGGCAGACTGCTGTGATTTTAAAAGCAGACAGACCGAGGCCTGAAATCCACGGGAAATATGTGCCTCACGTTCCATTAGCACTCCAAATCCAGTGAAGCAGGTTTGAAGCGTAAAGAACAAAATACTGATTAACAAGGCACAAATATTCTTGGCGAACTCTCACACCTTTGATATTGAGTATTTTCCCAACTGTGCAATCACTGAAAGCTTCCTCTGTGAGGGAATTTTGTGTCATTTGATTTTGGTGCCCCCTGTGGGCAAAATGGTACCTTTTATCTGTATGTTTGCAGTGTTGTAGTACTTGATTCCAGGACTTGGACTCGGATATGCCGGACTTGTGACTCGACTTCGACTTGTGCACTGATGACTCCAACTTGGACAAGCTCTGGCTGCATTGGGACTCGGAGGAGGACTCAGAGGACTCAGGCTTATTCATCAATAAATGTTTTATTTTATATCTATTAATTCTTCTGGTATAAGGTCTTGATAACAGACCATTCTTTATGGGTTCTGATGGACCCATGTGGTTCAGTGTTTCCCTGAATTCTGTGCACCGCTACTGAAATTTCACATGATCATTAATATCGATGTGCCACTAATGATTTCTACTCACACTGTGTGAGCACAACACACAACATTATTTTCAACTTGTTTTGAGTCATCGACGAGCGCATCAAATCCCGTCGGACTCTCTTCCATCAACGTGAAAGGTAACATTTAAGCTTATACACAGTCTATACAGCAAGTAGCGCGGGTAACAAAACGTATGTGACAATAACAGATGGACTCGACTTAGATTTTTTCTTTGGTGACTCGGACTTGACTCAGTCTTGACCACTGAGGACTTGAGACTCAACTCAGACTCAAGCTTTTGTGACTTGACTACAACACTGTATGTTGGTACTGCCTTTTACTAGAGTAGACAAAAATGTATGGCTAAGCTCAGTGTCAAAGCCTCGATTTATCCTAGATTAGAGACATTTGACACTCCATCATAATATTCAGCTCTTCTATTTAACCCATTCTCCTCACACTTCTCTCACCAACCCTCCTGGTCCTGGCCTTCTCCTCCTCCTCCTCCTCATCCTCTCTGACTCCGTTGAGGGCTAATAGAAATGAGAAGCATGTTTCCAGCAGCAGACAGTGAGCTAGTGGGAATTCATTAGAGGGGCCACTGGATGTCTCCTCCACTTGTCAGACAGTAGAGAGGGGGGGGTTTGATTCAAGGGTGCCTCAAGTCGACCATCGATCATAGAAATCATGCTCAGGCTCACAGAAGGAAAAAATCTGAAGAACTACAAAAACTAAATTAAATACTTCAGATGTTAAATGGTGTGCACAAGCATTAACATATATATCAATTCTTTGTGATGATATGCAAAAGCAAACAAGACCCTCAGCGACAAAATTGGAGATTTTATAATCTAATGTTTAATGCCTAAAACTGGTGCAAGGAGGTAGTTGTCAGCAAAGCAGCTGAAGAACCAGCCCTGATTTTATATTTTACAAAGAGGGTTGAAAAATCAGGAGTAACATTTTTTTATGTCAAATATCTATGAGCAAAGATTTTTTTTGGTCCACAGGGGGCGCCAAAATTGACCCAAACTAAAAGTTCCTCACAGGAGCTATAGTGTAGACAGATCAAATGAGTAAATCAGGTGACCAAGGGAGTGAAATGTAGAAACATCTGCTTCGTTAACTTTACTTTGTCTCTCTCTGTGTCCTCAAGGTACCTCCTCTGCAGCAAAGCGCCCAAGGATATTTAAAGGCAGCAACATCAGGACTTAAACAGGCTTAGAGTGAAAAAAAATCAAAGGCAGATTTTCCCCTGCTTTTACACAAACTTCTATTTTCTTTCTCCTTCCTTTGGGTAAAAGTGAATTTAGGTCCAAAAAGAGGAAAAACTTACCCCTCTGGTGAGGTTCAATACTTGATCAGCTTTAATCATTCTCATTTAACTCTAATGAAGTGTGAGGAGTTGATACTGAGGAGAAATGCTGCAGAATTACACCCGGCTGTGTTAGGTACCGTCATGTTTTTGTATCACAGCGAGGTGTGTCTTACAGCCTTATGCATGGTGCCTTTCTCCTGTGGTTTGTTTGCATGAGTCTGGAGTGTCCACACAGACACACAAACACACACCCTGATGATATTGCATTGGGCTTATGCGCTCCCCTATTTGTCATTGCTGTTCCCCCTGCTGTACAGATGCTGTAGACACGTCCTGTCACCAATTATCTTCCTACACTAAGCCACACTGCACCCCCCATCCATCCCTGCTGCAAAGCCTTCACTATCCCTCTGTACGGTACCCACAATGCAGTGCCCCAGAGGAACATCAGCTCTTGCAAGACAGCATACAGTCTGCAGAAAGTCTTTACAGAGTATTCACTGAAGTCACTACTGATTTCATGTTGAGAGAACAAGACAGGAGTTAGTGGCCCCACATTCCTCTCCATACTTTGTAAAGGTTTTTCTTGCTTTTGTCTCTGCGTAGCTCTCCTCAGTGTACTCTGTTTTATTAATGACTTTTTTTGTTGCATATTCCGAATGTTTGGCTCCTTTAGTTGTGGGACACTCAGATAGATTAAATATTCAGTTAGTTTTTACATAATTCTTTTATTTTCACAGAAGTCTAACCTTCTTTAAAATTCTGAATTTTCTCAGATTTAAATTTTTCCTAATTCTGACTTTTCTTAAAGACTCCTGGCACTTTTTTTTAATTCTCACTTTTTTCTCCTTAATTCTTTTATTCTCAGATTTATTACTTTGTTTACAGACTTATAGTTATTTTCAGTTTGGACAATGTTTTAGACTATTGACCTTTTTTTCTCAGAATTCTGAGAAAAAGTCAGAATTCTAAAATATTCTGACTTTAAACTTTAAAAAACTGTCTTACAATTCTTAGAAAAGTTATAAATCTGACCTTAATGTTAGAACCACGTCGGAATTCTGAATCCAATTTCAGATTTCTAGGCAAAAAATATATATCAAAATCATTGTACTGATTTTAATCTTACATTTCCTGGGAAAAGCCTATTGAAAAAAAATGAACTCAAATTCTTTCTTTGATAGGGCGCAAATCCCCTCCCTAACCCCAACAGGCAGAAAACTGTCCCTGATCATGTCAGTGTGAATTTGTCTCTGCTCCCTCTGCAAGTTTTAACTTCTATTATATCTGTTCTATTATGCATTTTTGAACTTCAAACTCTTTAACACTTAAACACTCTGACATAGAGATTCAGGCTTATACATCATCATGATACAGGCTGATGATATAGCACAGCCAACAGGTTTCAGTCTGTCCCTCTGCTTTACTAACAAACACATGCACACACACAAACTCCTGCCTCCTCTTCATCCTCTCCCTGTTAGAGTTGCATGGATCTCCTCTCTCCCCTTGTGGCTGCATGAATGTTTAAAAGCCTCTATTCTTATCAAGGAAAATTACAGAATAAAAGCAGAGTGTGTGTGTGTGTGTGTGTGTGTGTGTGTGTGTGTGTGTGTGTGTGTGAGTATGTTTGGATTCTTCAGCCCCCCCCCCCCGCATATGCACTACATGCAGAACGACGGGGTGATTTGGATAGACAGACCACTGTCCAGTTCTCTCTGAGAGCTCTGGGGAAACTCGGCCAACAGGCTGGCAGTGTGTCTGACAGTTCCTCATATTTTGCTTTGCTTCTGAGTCTACGCAGCATGCCGGCCAAATAGTCAGCAGCCACATGGTGCGGATCGCTGGAACCTGCCAGGATGCATGGAAGTGGAACTGGAGATGCCAGACACATTTATGACAGATCCTTTGCATCATGTGAGAGAGGCAGGATCTTGCAAACTAGGTGTAAAGGCAGTTATTTGCAATGTAGTCGGGATTAAATTACTGAATTGCTGAAATAACCCTTTACAGACCTACATCTATGGTTGCCTTTATCCAAATAAAAAGTAAGAATGGTTACCATCCCAACAAAGAGACCGCTTGCTTTTCCATCACCTCTCCTGACAAGAGCCAATTATAAGCGGGCTCTCTGTTGGTATTTACAAAAGGGTCTCTCTCGATGGCCATCTGACATGACAAAAGCTCTCCAGCAGAGATGATGGCACTGCTCAACAACCAGCTTAGACCACTGCAGGTTCTCCATCAACAGACCCATCCTGTTATGATCTCAAACATGTGGCCTGTTCTGGATCTTAAAGACAACCAGCTCTCTGTGAAGATTTTGTTTTTCTCTCTGGTGTCCTTTTTAACTTCCGCTCTCACTCACTCTCTGCCTCGAACATGCTCTCTTAAACAGGGGTTCACTGAAATTGTCTGTAAGTATTTATTTTCAAAAAAGAAAAAGAAATAAACTGCTGAAATTGAGGGGTTGCAGGGAGGCGAAGTTGAAGAAGACGGACAAAAGTGGCCTCAACACCTGTGCTACATAGTTTTGAATTGAGGGGCTGGGAACACACAGAAACACTCGAAAAATAAAAAATAAAAAAGCAACCTTCAGCAGGGTTGGGCGCTGTATTAGGTCTGTCTCATATTTGTTTGTACTGCTGGGTTGCACACACGACCAGGGACACAAAAGGGCTGAATTATTCAGTCCTGCTATGTAAATATTTACAACCACTTCTTTCATAGCCAAAGGGGCAAAAAAAATAATGTAACGTTACAGAGACAGACATGTATTTGTTTTTTTTTCATCACAAAAAAAGAGGAAAACATGAGATATTCACAGAAAATAGCATAAAGGATGTAGAAAACAGACAAAAGGGGAAAAATGTGAAATTATATGCATTGAGAAAATGTTCATGAAGCTGTTTTATTAGCTCTGTTAACAACAAAGTAACACTTGGAGGTACAAATGACTGACTTATAAAAGGACATTAGTCACCGCAGGCCAACAAACATGCATGTGGAGGATTAATGGGGGGTTTAATTCAGAACAGTCAAGAAAGTTGCTGTCCACACCATCCCCTTTCATAAAGTCACAGCATCAAGGCCTTAAGATAAAGAGCTAGATCGAAAGTGCCTCAGGAGTGGAGGGGGACTGCAGGGTTGGGTGATGTATTTCAACACAGGGTGACAGAGCAGAAGAGACTGGCCCTGTTGTGGTGGAAGCACCAGGAGTCTTTCATTGGCAGAACCCAGACAGCAAGAGGGGGTGTAGACCTGAATGAGGTTGTCCAGGTATGCAAGGTTCCTTTTTGTCGGGTTTTGCATTTGATACAAGCTGTGATGGCAAGCCAGTGAAAAGACATTATCAGTGGAGTGACGTGTGCTGTGTTGGGTTTGTTGAAAACCAGACGTGCTGTTTTTTGGGGGGGCTGACTCTGCATGCAGGGAGGCCTGCCGGTAAGGAGTTGCAGAAGTCAATGTATGAAATTTCAATGTCTATAAATTTTCCTTTTGGGATAAATACAGTTCTTGTACTGTTTTCCAAGAACTTGTACCAACAGCTGTGTTGCATACTCTGTCAACTATGATAAGATCAGAACATTATTGAACCCCAAAGGGAAATTCAATACAGGGTAAGATCTGATCCACTTCTGGTAGGAATGACAGGAAGAGCTGGGTATCCGTCTGCATAGCAGTGATACACAAAAACAATCGGGAGTGTTTTTTTGGTTCAGTTGTTAAGACTTTTTGGACTAGGTAAGTATTTGGTCTTGAAATCAGGTGAAAGATCTAAAGAACTCTTACATTAAGACCAGAGTAGACTGGAGTAGACTGCAAAAATATTGATTGGATCAAAAAGTGGGCACTAGTTGTTTTCAATCCACCCAGTCACATTTCATGTACGCAGTATGTATGCTACGTTTTGGATTTATTAAAAAACTCTAAACCTTCAAAGAGAGCGAAGCTTCACTCTGTGTTTGTGTCAGTTGTTCCTGCTCACAATGATCCAGCTTTGCCATTGGCAACCTTTTGATTTCTCTCCACAAGAGAGAAACAAAAACAACAACAAAGAAAGACGTGATCTGAGCTGTGATCTCCAGAAACACAGCTGGCATGCTAAAGGGGACCAAACTTTTGATTGATACCCACCATACTGCCTTAGTTAGGCCTTTGTGGATTGGGGGGAAGATGGAGAAGAACAAAATATCAGTTTTTGAGTGAAAGCAGTCTGACATGATTTAAAAGAGGCGTGTTTTTCTGGAGCGTAAGATTCACTGTATGTCGGTAATGGGGCTTCAGATGCTGCTTGTCTGTCTTAGATATAATGACTTCCACTGCTGCTATTGTGCTTCTAATCAACCCTCTCTTGTTTAAGTTTCTTCTTTTCTTCAAATTGGGAAACTTTCTAAGACTGCAGAGAGATTATGCTGATTTTCAGACAGCCAAAGCTGTCAAAGGAATAAAAATAAAATGGGTTGTGAGGCAGTTTGGATTAAATGAGGAAGTACCACAAAATTCTGACTAAGACAACACAGTGTCATGAGTGATTTATGGTGTGTGACTGAAGCTCTTTTCCATGACAGAGCACAGATTTGTTCTCACTGAAGAGGCAAATTCTGTGTACATAAAGACAGCTCTATCTTTGTTTTTTATCCTGCAATCTGCGGAGTAGAACCCAAAACACTTCCACAAGACATGTCTCAGATGTTTTGGTATCATGACCATCAGGGTGGCTTTGATTGCAGCACACATCCTCCAGTTTTTTCCAGAAAATCATCACTGTAGTAATTCACTGGGGTCAAGAGTGCCATTCAGTGTCAGACAGCAAGCTACTCTGGCCTGATGTGCCTCTGAATTTGAATGTATAATTAAATTTCAAACACAAACCTGTCTCCGAAGTTTGAAGGAATACTTTGATAAAAAGTGACAGCCCTGGCAGAGAAAGGCTAGAAATTTATAGAGTGTGATCCAATAAATAAAACTAATCTGGGAATTTGGTTTTACAGTTTCATACCAGCTATGTAGTTTCACTGCTTAACAGGAATTATTCATTCATTATCAAAACAGTTTGAGCAAGAGAGTAACCAAGAGATCATTTCAGCTCAAGTTAGGATTTATCAGGACTTACCAATCTGTTTTCGATACTGATCGACGAGTAATTTGGTGGCACTGGCATCCTTCTTCCCCATACTCTCTTTAGCCTGTAAAGAAATGAGAGAGAAAAATAACAATCACTAAAGTAAGAGAATTTCACAGCTGGGCATCAGTGTTGCATCTAATCATTTTCTTTAATTCTTGCAGCTTTTATAATTTACCTGAGCGTTCACTCTGCAGCAGTAAAAATCCAAGTTAACATACAATCAGGTATAGAACAGGAGTAGTCAGCTTTGATCAGGCAGATGGTTTATCTTTCACATACATCTGCCAGACATAATTTGATTAATTCTCAACACCTTCCATGTGTTATGCTTGGAGAATGTGCACTTCCCCTCTGTTTCAACCAGTCGAACACTGTTTCTCTTCACGCCAGGAGCACTCTCTGATTACCCTGACGGCTCACAGCCAATGTATAGAGAGAGTGCACAGAATAATACAAATAGTATCTGTAGGGCTTAACGTGTAATTATGCACTGTGACTGACAGAGCTACGAGTCTACCAGGCTGTGCATCATTTCTAAGTACAAGCGTGAACACTAGAAATAACCTCCCTTCTATAATACTTCGCTTTACAAACAGCTTACACTCAAGGTGTGTTTCGAGCGTCCAACAGGTTTGTTTTTTTAGCAAAGAGTCTGCTCTAAATTCTAGACAGGTGCTTTCACAACACACTGCATCAATCAATATTGTAGCCTTTGGTTTAAAATTGAGGAAAACGCAGGTATGAGACAAGGGGACAATTGACAAATAGAAATGCTTTGGCGCTCACTCAAGTCCTTCTCATCATATGTTAACCGATACATGTGACTGGAGGAGAAATCTGACTGTGTGCATAAGACAGGCAGAAACTGCAGATAAAAAGTGTTTGAGTATATCTGAGAAGGATTGGTGCAGTCGGGGAATAAAGCAAAGAGACTGAATTAGCATGTTCAAGAAGCACGGCTGGCTGCTCCTGCAGACTGATATCTTCTCCAGGGAGACCTGAGTCCTACCTTACAATAAAAGAAACACTGTTTTCAGCCACTTTTCAAACGCGGTTAGCAGCAGCAGCAAAGAAGTAGGATGTATGCTCAGCTATTGTTCTCTATTCCAGCTAGTGGAAACCAGAGTCAGCAAATACAAGGAAGTGAGAGGGGGCATTAGAGGAAGAGGGGAAACTGTCCCAATGTAATGTTTACAGTAGGAAACAGTAGGCAATGCTGTAATATTCAGCAACATCAAAATGCTTTAGTTAAACTGCCAAAAGCAACATAATTGAAGTCGTTGTCATACCCTGAAATGTCCTTGTTTACGCAAAATATTTACAAAGACGGCAATACCGGTTGACAATTGTATTCATTATATGCTTATTCATGGCTTTGTTAAATACTTGATTCTGGTTGGTGAATATTCCACAGCAACAGTCTGTTATCTTTTAACAGCAGCCTGTTGCTATGGATACAACTGACTCAAATAGTAATAATAACCTGCAGAAAGAAACAATATTAGTTTGAAAAGTGAGCGGAAAGGGACAGGAAACAGGAGGGGATAACGACACAAAAATGTAGACAAGGATTGAAAAATCAACAAACTTAAGGTCCTTTCACACCGGGACCATATTTGTCGTGCGATTATTTCGGATGTCAGTATTTTTTTTCGAACGCGTATCCTGTCAATACAAGCGTTCACATCAGCGACGTTTTCCCGTCCTGCGATATTGCAGCATTTATTTTTTCAGGTCATGGTCAATTTTTCTAAAGTTTCGCATACTGTGTGTCCACTTTGACCAATCAGATAGCGTGTTGTTGCGACGTCTGATTCACCGGTATATCCAACATGGCCGACCAGCTGATTGTTTACTTGTCTGAGAAAAGAGTGCTTTTTGATAAAAGACACAAACATTACAAAGATAACGAACTGAATGACATCATAGCATCGGAATTCTCATAAGATGATGGTTCGTGTGCTTTAACAGTTTACTAAATGCCTTTGTTTTAACTTTCATCTGTGCTAATGTAAGCTAACGGTTGTTACCATAGTTTCATGTGCTTATCTTATCGCCTCTGATTGGCCATAAGTGCTGACCGTTTGGCTTGAGCGTGTGATGACGCTTCCAGCTTTTCTAGCCAATTAGAGGTGAAGGAGGCAGGACTTGGGCTTGAGGTGTATAGTCAGGCACGTCAAAATCCACCTCCGAATATTTCATAATTTCGCATTCTATATTTGTGTTGGCCCCAGTGTGAAAGGACCTTTATACTTAAACTGTGTATTATGTAACACACCCAAAATTGGGGGGGGGGTTGGGGTCCCAGCATCTGGTAAAATTTCATAGAGTTTTTATCGTCTTTTTCAAAACCAAAACTTTAATCTAAAATTACTTTAATTTAACTTTAATTTAACATTTGTAATTAATCAAAACAAATATTGCATTGATAAATATGGATGTTACTCTTGCTGACATGTTAAATTGTATGTTTTAAGCTAAAAGGATGTATTGGAGACCGGCTGCAGCAGCATGCAGCTTTGTAACGTAGCTTTTTAGAACATGATGGTCTTAACAAGCATGATTTCTAACCTTTTGCATTGTGGTTTTTTATTCACATTCAAATCCCGGTTTATATCTGCAAAAGTACATGCATTTGATCCCCCTTTCCTCTGCAGTCCTGATCATAAAGAAGAAAGTCGTAGCACTAGCAGCAATGACATTTATTTCCGGTGCTCTTATGTTAGCGTTTGATCAAATCTAATTGTATTGAATCATATAATGCTCAAAGTCAGCTTTCTTTCATCACATTTACGAGTATACTCACACTGCTCCTGTCTGTCGAGAGAAAACGTCGCTCTGTGGAGGTCTTACTGCATTACGGTGTCCCTGGCTGCTGTACAGAACGATAAAACACACATTTATTGTACTTTGCTCCAAATTTCTCCAGAATGCCAACACACCACTGTTTTTACTCTGAGTTCCTGGTTTACACGTCAACAATGATGATAGACATCTTTTTAAACCAATCAGATGAGGGTATTTGTTTTATCGACCAATAGCATGAGCAGGAGGCAGGACTCAGACAAAAACACAAGGGGAGCGCGTGATGAGTCGTCGTGGATACTCCCACTCGCGTCAAAGAGGAAAGCATCCTGGATTAGAAAACTAAGGATCGTGTGGAGGATGGAGGTTTTTTTTTTCTTTGGCAAAGTTGCAGGAGAAAATATTGGGATAATTTTTTTTCTGAATTGATTAGAAGAAAAGAAAAAAAAGGTCCTTTTTTGGCTCTATTGGATAAGTATCTGTTAATTCAGAAAACAACAACAAATTTTTTTTTTAATTTACAAAATTAAATTCTGAGACAATTATCTCTTTAATTCAGAAAAAAAACATTTTTTTTCTTCAGTGAATGCAACATGTTTCTTTTAGCATTATTAATTTTTAATGTCACTTCTTCTGTGTGAGAACTAACATGACCACTATACCCATCATTATTCAACATTTAGCAATTAAATTAATGTGATGATAAACTAACTACTCTAAATATGTACGTACATACAAAAAATAAAAAGCACCTTTGGTCAAACATTATACCAACCCAACGCTTTTTCTTAGGCCTACATCATAAGTACATTTATAAAGCTGTATGAATGCATCTATAAAGATTTATAACAAACCTTAAAAGTAGTTATAAGCAATCATAACAGCTTATAGCAATGTTTATAAAGTGTTACAAGCGGTGAGTATATGCCTTATAACGGAATTTTTTTTATGCATTAAACCTTAATGTAAAATAATACTTATAATCATTAAAAAGGTTGTTGTAAATCCTTAACGATGCATAAATAAGGCTTTCTCAGTGTGCTTATGATGCATCATGAGAGGTAGGTTCATATTGTTACTGCACTTTTTTGTAAACAACAGCAAAAAAGTCCATCTCTAATTTTGGACTCCATCCTATGATACTGTTCTATCAGGTTGTTTTTGCAACTTTTACTCAGTATAATGATGTGGAAACATCCTTTGCAGAGAATTATAAACAAGACCTTGTTCCCACTAGAAGGCTGCATGTTAAAGTTCCCACATGCCAACATATTCCTTTAATTAAATAAATGTAGCTTCACTGAGGAGGATACATGTTCAGTTAATTAAAAGAAATATTCGTTTGGCATATTGGCCTTCGTTCTTTCTTGCCTTCTCGAGTCACAACAAATGGCACAGTTATCCTTGCTGAAAACAGTAACATTACGCTGCGACAATTAAAGGAATAAACAGCAGCCTGAGTCAAAGACGAGACAATCGCTCTCTGCAATGTGTGCTCCCTTTCATCAGTCTTTTTTACATTTCTGTCTTTGTTTACTGTGTAGGATTTTATTTCCCCCCTAATTGCACCCAGCACCGTTGTTGCCTGGGGCATTGTGCAGATTATGGGTAGCCTTGCCACTGCTTGTAACTTATTGAAGTCTACAGTGATTTTCTGCTCTCCCATGGGCATGTCATTTGCATGCAGCACAGCAGTAACTAATAGATCTAATCTGGGTATAATGTGCCTGCATTATGCCTCACTTTATATGAAGGTGCCATTGATAGCGAGTACTTTAACACAGCCCTGTGATGGAAGAACAAGTAGTCTAAATTTCATTGGTGCATAATGAAATTTTATCTCCAGACATATTGCTCAGGAAACAGGGAAATGTGCCGCATGCGAGAGTCTTTCATAAATTTGACATGGAAATTACATTCAGGTGCAGAGAAGGCCTACACTTAAACATCTATATTCTCTAATTCTTTACAATGAAAGTCATTTAATTTACATATCTGGGGGGCTTAAAGGCTGCTGCAGCAGTTTGGTTTAAACCGTTAACAAATAGCCTCTATAAGAAACCTGAAAAGGTTATCTTGGCCATCAGAAAGCAGCAGCAGCACGCATGTTGTCAATGCCAAGCTTAAAGCTCTCTTGTTATACTAAATGTGTGTGATTAAAATCTCCTGTTGAGTGAAACAAACCAACATGCTGCGCCTGTCACATTGATAGATATGGAGAGCATTAGCATCAATAAGGAGTGTGAATGTAACTGGGCAGATGGATTTGTCTGGGTTGCAGCGTGTGGACTAAGTATATTGTTATGTATGGATAATGCTTTAGAGGAGATGAAAGGGGTTGCCGGGGGCTTTATACATAAATAAGGTCAATAATTGAGTTTCTCTTGATGTGAATGGAGTAGCTGTACAAATGGCTGATGTCTGGGTGACCAGTTTCACATAGACTTGCTTTACAAACGTAATTGGCTTGTTTTTGAGCTACTGTTGTCAACGTACTCCTCTTCTTGTGTCTTTTCCATCTCTCCCACTTTGTCTTTGAACTTCACTCTCCTCCCTCTTCCTCTCAGGCAGTTAGTCGGCCTTTAATTGCCAGACATTAAAAAGAAAGCCAGAGAAGAAGAATCCCCCCGGGGCCATTGGCGAGCTAAATGGCATCTCTGCTGCCATCGCCCCCTCCTACATGCAGCAATGAAGACTTGTCAACATAATCTTGGGCAATTTGCAGTCATCATCAGGGGGACTGATTAATTTTCTGACTGAGCGAGGGTTATAAACAGCAGGACCTTCTTTCTACATTTCTGAGTCTTATTTTGAATGTTTCAAATTAAGGTGCTGAACAACAATCAGCATTTCAGACCAATGTGGACCAGATATGCATGGGCCACTATGGGATTCTGACGGTGTGATAACCTTGGGCTAAAATATCTGATTCTTTGAACTTTGATTTTGAAAATCCCAGACTCTAAATTTTACATAAAGGGCTCTTAGAGGCGTGTAAATCTGCAGGTGAAAGCAGGGTCAAGATTCTAGTTCAAGTCCTTTAAAATGAAACAGCACTGCATACATGTTATTTTAAACTATGTTTTATGATTCATTTTTCTTCAACACACACTCACACACTCAGAAACCCACACTTAGATACAGAACTTGAGCTCTCTCTTTATTTCCACCCTCAGTTATGTTATTGGTGCGGAGGAGCAGACACACTTCTCGCTCCTGTTTAATATTCTTATCTCAGTTTCCTGCTTTGCCTGCAGTGTGCGGTGAATTCTCTCCCCTCTCTATCTCTGAGTCCCAGAGTTCCCTCTCATTGACGGGGAAACTGTATCAGCACAGATACAGGGTGAAATGAATTTTGTGGGTTTATGAAACACAAGGCCTCGTATATGAAAAAAAAGTCCACCAGACTCAGGGAGATAAGTTATCACACAATGGATTTGGTCCCGTTTCACTTCAGTCATTATCCTGTATCGGAGCACAGTGACTCTGATGCAGGGAGTCATCCTCCAGTGGGTGAGGAGGGTTTGGATGTGTCAGGGCCATCCAAGCAGACTTTCCTTTGTCATCAACAGGAGCTGGAAAACACTTAAAAACAAAGCTGAAACATACAGTTTGTCTGTTTTTCCCAATAACTTTATGTTGAATAAGGGGCAGCCAATCAGATTTCAGAGGTGTCTCTGGCCACCCCCTGAAGATGTTGGTTGTGAATTGTCTCTAAAGAGAGGCTGCTGTTGTATAAAAATCCCCAACATTGTGGGTGTTAAATCTGCTTGTAAACCGCTTTCATGTAAAACACATTGCTATCCAAGTGTAAAGACTGCAGTGAAGGGGTACGGTGCCAAGGTGAGGGTTAATCCCTGATCTTAATGGCCCCAAAAATGACACTTCCATTATATTTACGACATTGTACGTAGCTGCTCACTGGTTCAAACATTCAGCTCATTTCTTTTCCACTTGGACACACTGTGATGGTTAATCCTCCAGGGCTCCAAGCATTATTATAGACACCACTAAACCAGGGATGATGTGTTGTCTTGCTATTCCTGTCCCGGTTATCCACAGTTAGTTTAATGACAATATGTGGTCTTTTGGACGCTGATGGCACATTAGCTTTCCTCTCCAAACTCCGATCTGAGAGCAGCTTCTTCTTCATTTTCCCGACACAGTGCCTGCCTGTGTCCCCAGCTGTGTGTGGTGGCTGCCCACACTGAGTCTCAGTGTTTATGCAGGTGCTGCAGCTGGATCCCCCCATGGACACTCTGCAGACTGGATGGCTAGGCTTGAGTATTTCTTTTTCACTGTTTACTCTGGCACGGCGGGCCTGGACCCTGCTGAGAGCTATTTTTGAGGTAGTTAATTTTTGTCACTTTGACTCCTGCCGTGATCCACCCCAGGACACAGACATAAACACTCATTCTTTCCTCCAAACACACACACACACAAAAGCAGAGCGACTCACTATGTAAAAGACCCATAATAATCCACATGACATCCATACAAACACAACCATCACAGTAATCCTACAACACCGTGCCAACAGAATTTGGTTCACCCCACCACAGGCTGGCCTGGTTGTCACAAGACAGCTGTAGAGTTTTGACATGTTAATTTCAGCCCTGAGTTGACCCCCAGCTAATTATCCTTCAACTCTGTAAACACTAGTAGCACCAGTTAACACCAATTAATGGCCACTAATCACTGCCAGATGCTGCACCTTGAGTAATTTACACCACTTCCTACTCTTGCACTAAGTATTTCACTCAGCACCATGAGGCTGAGGCCAAGTATCTGTGTTTTTAAAAATGTGTTTTTTTCTCTGTTATCAAAAATCACATGAAGGTGTTTTTGAACCTCTGTTTTATGTATGTTGAACTTCTTGTGGACAGGAGGCCGAAACGCCAAGAAAAATCTACATTTCTAAAATATCTATGTTAGTGTAGATGGAGCCAAATTCACACTGAAAAATCTGCTCATTTAAATGAATGTGTGTGTGTGGGGGTTCTGGTGCTTCTAAAGACAGCCTTAATTGGACACTCAGTTTTAGCACTTTTGGATCAGGATTGTTTCTTAAAAAGGAAGTTCCTGCTTGTAAAAGGGCACTACAATGATGAACGCGAACCATCTTATCGTCAAACTCAGCAGCTGAGGACCAACAGCAGTTGCAAAAGCTGGCACAGACCCATGAGCTGTCCTTCAGTCTTTTCACAAGATGCTTTTCTTTCTTTTTTTAAGTGGCTGCTTTTTTTAATTTTTCACTTTGAAGTAACATACAGACGTACCAAAGCCAAAAAAATATGACTCTTCTTATGAATCTACATCTTAACTCTTGTAAATTTGTGACTCACTCCCCTTAAACCGCCTTTTAATTCTCATAATAGAATAATTTGCAAAAACTGATGAATGTATTTTAGGGTTAAAAACATTATTAAAAATGTATTTTCCATCAAGATAAATAACAAACCTCTAAAATACCGTGGAGGTTTATTTATTTGCCTGTTTGTCTTTCAGGTAGTCTCCTGAAAAGAGTGAAAATTAGCCACTTGAAGCCATTATGCTTGTTAGTTACTGTAGGAGAATTTGCATAAACATACAGCATGAATAAGACTCAATAAGAGATGTTTAGGAGCTGGGTTGCCAAGAAAACAAATGAGGAAGTCTTACATCCTCATTCAAACAACCCACAGATGACAGACACATCCAACAACCACATGACAAGAATATCAATATTACCCTGTTCATTATTTGTGCTCCTTTAAACACACACTAAGAACAGTTAAGCATTATGAAAACACATTTTTACAGATCCCAACACAAAATCATCTCTGAGCAGCACATAATCAGAAGCTTTATCCTGTCTCCCCTCTCTGTCTGCTCCGACATTATTCTTCATTTGCTGCTTCATTGTTTGTATTGATTAGTGGAGTGCGCTCTGCTTGCTGCCTTGCCTGCCAACTGTACTGTTGCCAAGGGAAAGCGTGAACAAACCTCTGCCAGCACCAGCCTCCGCTCGACAACAGCTGTGCCACATATGCTGCCGATCAATATAAACAAACATGGCCTCCCTGCACCAGGGAGAGGGATTGACAGGTATGATTCATCTTCTGCACCACTGGTGGGAGGTGGAAGTAATAATAAGCAGAGACAGATCTTTTCCCATTGCGGTACGACCACTGGGGTTAGTAGGGGTGGGTCTAGGAGATCATTCACCCCCCAAGGTAACTGGCAGGGTTCCCCATATAACCCCTTGCAGTTTTGCTGAGGATTAAAGCAGCATGAATCCACCAGGGCTGTAATTTGTGGCGTTGCGTACACAGAGAGAGCGGCAAAAGATGAATGGGGAGCGGGCATGGATCATTGGTGCCAGCGCGTGTCGCTCCGAAGTGAGAATATTCAACACAGACAGTAGGGGAGATCACAAATGACTCACCACACTCTGCTTTTTAATAACTACATCATTCCAGCATATGAACATCTCATCAAGAGAATACTGTTTGATGCATTTCACTCTCAAAATAATGATGAAATTTCTATGCAAGAGCTGTTTAAAGATTCTGATCATTGAACTGTGATCCTTTGTGCCCAAATGACAGGACTCGAACAGCTTGTACATCACGTAGATGTTGTCTCTGGGGCCCAGCTGAAGACATGGGGCAGGGAGGACAATAGCTGCTCAGAGTGGATGACGTCCCCTTGATGAAGAGTAATGGCTTGAAACAATATTTCCCCGAGGAGCAGGGCTGAAATCAGAACGCTATGATATGGTTTCATTGCTGTGCAGTTTGGAGATGTCACATCGGGTTTGCCGGCATCCTATCAAAAAGCAGAATGTGGACGTAAAAGGGATGGATAATGTGCAGATACACAAACTCAGGATTTATCAAAGTGAACAACTCTGTTATAGTTGGTCGTTTTATATTGCTCATTATAAATCTACTACCTACTTTATTATTTGCATACTTCTGTTTTCTCTTTATGCTTCGTGTGGCCTCTAGTGACAACAGAAAAACAGACAAGGTTGTTTCCTGCGTAGATTAATATTTCTTTTGAAATCTTGATACAGAAATACAGTCGGCATCAGGGTAGCTGATGTCTAATTTACAAATACATAAGATAAATGGTGGTGACTGGTGTATTATAGTGTGTATGTATCTGACATGCCAGACCCCACAAAGCTCTGACATGCAGACAGCAGAGAAGCAGCAGTCAGGAGTTCTTGTCACACAAAAATGTGCTTAAAATTACAGCATTGTTTTTCTATTTTTTTTTTTTTTTTTTCCAATCATCTTTTGTGGTGAAGCTGTCTGAGAATTGCCCACCAAATGGAAAGATTTTATTTTATTTTTTTCCCAAACCAAGGCTGTCGCAAGTTACCGGTGTTGACAATAACAGTCTTTTAGAAAAAAAAATACACATAGATTTTGTACAAAGAAAAAAAAACATGCATACACTTAATGCCATATTCTACAAAACGGAGGAGAGATTAAAAAGAAGCAGCAGCTGCTAGCAAGCTAGATGAAGCAGTCCTCTGAGAGATGTTTTTAAAGCTGAATTTTAAGGTTCATTGTGAATCTTAACACCTCAAAAATGATGCCTCTTCACTTTAATTGAACAGTTATACTTCTTAATTTTTCTTTAAGCTGTTTTTTTCATTCGGTTTTGTATCTTACAATTCACCAGGAGTTGTATGTTTCAAAATAAAAGTATAGTTTTAGCAATATTTGTAGGAAATAAAGCAACATATTAAGACTGGAAAATGAAAATAAAAGCATGACATACAATCTTCAGGAGGCCGTGTCTTCTCCAAAAAAGTTTCAGTCACATGGACTGATCATGTGAATAAGTCATGAGCTTGAATGTCATCAGAAATGGATGATGATGATGACGTGTTAAGAGATTCACAAACATTTATTTTTAGTGATAGTAAACTTGTCATTAAGCAAGAAAGAATTAACGATGAAAACTGTAATCTGTAAAACAAACATCTCAGCATTTTAGTGAGATTTCCCACTATTAAGAACCACTTTAAATGACAGTGCTGCATGTCAGAGCCAAGGTCAGCCCTGTCACTGCCGTTTTGACTATTTGACTGGTTGGAAATTGCTCATAGTACTGACTAGTGATTTGAGAAGTAGGGTAGTCAATTAGTCTGTGACAATGACCTTTGTCCAAAATGATGCCCCAGTTTTTTGTTCCCTGTTTCCCAACTGTGGATCAACCACTTTGCTCCACCTTTAAAAAAGCACAATGCCTCTTTGAGTTTACACTACTGGAATGATTATTAACAAAAGGTCTGTAATTACTGCTACAGATCTGCAGCTACTAAATAATCAGGGTTGGTATTTAGATAAGGGTTGATTGGTGCATTTAAATCAGTCCAATTGTGCCGTGCAGTCATTAACAAGACCACAACTCTGTTGGAAACCTCTGCTGGATGACTGTCAAAAGAGAAGACTGACAGCTTCCTCCGGCAGCACATCTGATTCTCACTCCTACATTAACGGCAGCAGCAGAAGTAAGTTGGAGTTGATTTGATAAGAGAAGAGATGGTAGTAAACACTTTGATAAAAAAGATAAAAAGAGAAGCCTGAGGATCACTCCAAGAAAAATAAAAGAGCATCAAAATCAAGCTAATGCATCTGCGGTCAGGGCTGTGGCAGCTGTCTTTTTCCTACCAAGTCTTCCACTGCAGCCTCACAGCTGTGCAGATAATTTATTTGTTTACTTTCTTTACTAGTCAATTACATTTTAATGTGACTCGCCTAATGTCCACATTCTGTCTTCAGATGTGGCCCCGTGTAATGACTGCCATAGATAAAACACACTTTAATTACACAAGACCCTAATTGTCCTCAATGCAAAGCTGCCATTACAGCTGCTTGAATCTATACCATCACGGGGGGGAATGAGGATCATTTCAAGTCTTTGTCTGATGGCGGATATTATAGCAGATTCAAAATGGGAAGTAAATGATGCCTATGGGGGCAACAAACAATAAAAACGTTGGATTTCAGCCACCAAAGATGGAATTCAGCTGGATGAATGTGAAGTTGAAGTTCTCTTGTAAAGCATGATGAAGATGTAGTGTTTCAAATCAGAAACAGCTGCACCTTTTTCTCCACCTTATTCATGCTTCTCACTCTGTCCTGCTCACAGTCACCAGTGAGGAGTTGTTAAGAGGAAATAAAATATTCCGGTCATTCCTTGCAGTCGCTGGGTGTATTTTAGTCCCAGTGTGGTGCCATTCATTACTGC